AGGATTTTCTTACATCCATCCTTGGTGTCTCCATATCAATTCTTTCACTGCTTGTTTATATAACAGTCTTTGAGACAATTGTTGGTATTGTTCCCCCATGTAGGCCACAATCGAATGAAGAATTCTAAAGATACCTGTGGCTGTACTGCTATTGCAGAGCAAGTTATTGTCTGTCAAATTGGTGTTATTATCTTTGCTAACACCCTGAGAGGACAAATAATGAACATTTTTAAGATGTGATATTCTTTTTTTTTTTTTGTAAACATTTTTATTGGAATTTCCACTTTTTTCTTTTTGCTTTCGTTGCAATGGTCATGCATGAAGATCATAGAGTAAAGCAGTGAAACACGCAGGTCTCATGTGAGAATTATACAGTAAATGTGATGGGTCAATAGGTGGTTAGACTCGCAGGTCTGCAAATTGGTGCATAACAATGAGGCCCGCAGGCCTCAAACTGGAAGCAGAGTAACAAGAATAGTGTGTCAAAAACTTTGAGTTAATTGCAATACTTCCGCCCATACATATACTCGGTAATCATTGAGTTTAATCATCTTATCTGGTGTTACAATATGGGTACGGGGCTCTGTACATGGGTATTCCTCATTCCCAGGTACCAACGTAGTAGGCCTTTCTATGTCTATCGAGTGGGTGCCTCAAGGTGAGCTCCAACTTCGGGGTCTGATTGTGCCAAACTTGGAGTGACGATTTAATAAAGAGGTGTTGGGATGCTAGTCTTGCTCTGATAAATTGGTCCAGCTATGGTACCATCATCATCAGTCTCCCCATTTGCATGGCCTCTACCTGCTTCCAGATTTTGTGCACTCCTTTCTTAGACCATTCCTCCACCACCCATTGCATGTGTTTGGCCTGATATTAAAGTTGGAAGTCCGGTAGCGCCAGCCCACCCTTGGACTTTGGCAGGGTGAGGATATCAAGTCTGATACGCGGATGGGATCTCCACCACACAAATCTCAGAATCAGGGTTTACAGTGAGGTGAAGAAGGCTTTTGGAAGGGATATAGGTAGTGCTTGAAAAAGTTATAAGACCCGTGGTAGTCGGTTAATCTTTCAGCTTTCAGTTATGAGAAACCCTTGAATAGTGCACTTATGGGCCTCCCACTGGAGCATTGGGGTAGTATCATCTTTATCATTGTCAGAAAAGAATTGTGTGGTTTTGTACAGACCTCTTGATCTGTGACAGGGTCTGTCAATAGGGATTAATTAAGCCTCCAGTTAAATGTTGTCAGTCTAAATTGTGGGGAAGTCGCGGTCATTGTGAGAGGCTCATGGTTCTTTTCATGTAGTCGTCCCAATTTACATGCGTATCAGATGTGTGATGGTGTAGGGTGGGGGAGGACAAATAGTCCAGTCTAGAGTATGTTTGTTTTGGGATTGAATAAAAGGTGAAGGGTCCCTCAAACAGTCCAAGACCAACAAAACCCCGGACCCTGATGGCCTCCCGGTCTCATATGCTCCTTCCGAGAAACCCTGCTGCCGCACATGCTGCCCCCTATCCCCCCTCCTGTTTGCCCTCACTCTTTAACCATTCCTAGAGGCAGTCTGATGAGATGGGGGCATTATGGGGTACACACTGCACAATACGGAACACAGGGTAGCCGCATATGCGGACAACATGCTTTTCTTCCTGGACAATCCGCTAGTCTCCCTGCCCAACCTTCTCCACGCCTTCAGGGAATTCGGAAATCTGTCAAACCTTAAGCTGAACATGAGCAAATCGGAGGCTCTCAACGTCAGACAGGGGACTCCACCTGAAATCACAATTTCATTTTACTTGGTGCGCGGTTAAGCTTAAATACCTTGGGGTCTGGCTGCCGAAAGATCTGACACACTTGTACCAACAGAACTTCCTCCCCATTCCTACAACCATACAGATTGAGCTACACCATTGGTCAGGCCTGTATGTCTCCTGGTTCGGCCGTATCAACGTGGTGAAGATGAATGTCCTCCCATGCCTTTTATACCTGTTTCAGAAGGTCCCAGTGGCCATACCAAGAGCCTTCTTTCAGTCTCTCTCCACCGCAATACGGAGGTTTGTATTGAATGGGAGGGCATCTAGGATTAGTAAGGCACAACTAGAATGCCCTAAAACTCAAGGGGGCACTGGGCTCCCATCCACCCTGGGGTACTACCATGCAGCTCATCTCCTTAGGCTTGTGGACTGGCAAGCTCGCCCAACCACCAAGATGTGGGTCCACATGGAGCTCTCAAAGGCGAGGGGTACTATACCTTCCCACTTGTGGCTTGGCTCCATGATGTATAGTCCTCTCCGAACTAGTATCCCCATGATAGACACCACCCTGCGAGTCTGGTGTACGCTCCGATACCCCCAACAACTAACCACCTCACTTTGCCCACTGACACCCATCACATCCGACTGGATGTACGTTCACCAATTCCTACAAAGAAACCGACTTAAACCCCTGACAGCCATCCTCGGTGACACCACACCCTCAGGCATAGAGAAACTTCATTACAACCAACTACAGACATATTATGCGGCCTTTCTGAGCAAACAGTGCCTACATAGAGACCCCACACAATTTGAGGCCTTATGCATCAAAAGACGCCATCTAGAGAAAGGGGTTTCCTTCTTATACGCACTACTGCTCAATGGGGAAAACACACCGACCCTGTAATTTTTTGCTAAATGGGAATGGGAGACAGTAGTCACGCTAACCATGCAGGAATGGGAGAAAATATTCATACTCACAGATAATTGCTCCATTAGTTCCAAGTACCAGGAGATGAGCTTTAAGTTGCTGGCTCACTGGTATAGGACCCCTGACACACTACACCACATAAATGCGGAAACATCGGACGAAGGCTTGAGGTGCGCCAAACTTAAAATGATATAACTATAAAAGAAAGTTTTAATCAAGTCCTAAGTATAGGAAGGAAGGATGTACTAAAACATAAGGAGAAAGGGGCAATATAAGTAAACCCATTCTGTGCATCTTTAACCAGAATAGCCATTAATATAAAAATTGTAAACATTTGCCAATTTGGAAGCATGTTAAAGTATATTTCAAGAGAAAAAACTGTAAAAAAACAGTATTTACATTCAGAGGAGCACCCAATTTAAAACCGAAGATAGTTAAGCATCATCTAAAGAAAAAAATAGAATTCGTCCTTCCTGAATTAAGTAAAGAGTTCTATGGATGTGTGTCTGGCCTGTAGGAGCACAGGTAATAATAGTGTATATATATAAAAAACTTCACAAATCAGCACCAGAGAGAAATAATAAATTTCCCCACAAAAAGGACTTAATAACATGCTATTCTAAAAATGTGATCTATCTCTTTATTTGCTCTTGTGGTTTGGCTTATGTTAGACGTACAAAAAGTGCGCTCCACGTTCGAGTGGAAGAACATATAAGAACTATTAAGAAAGCCTATATAGGACATAGCGTGTCTCAGCATTTTAAATCCAATCACAACTGCAACCCAAAAGATTAAAAATGTATAGGTATCCAGAAAACAATAGATGGTTGGAGAGGAGGTGATGTGACTAAGCAACTAGGCATGGCAGAGATGGAATGGATTTACAATCTGAATACTCTACAACCTGGGCACCTGAATGCAGAATTTGAGTTCCACCACTTCATAGAACAATGAATAATAATTTATGAATATATGACCATGAGAATTTTTAATAATTAATATGAAGTAAAAATATAATCGAACACTTCCATATAATTGAAAATTTCCAATAATATTTTCTGTTTTTAGTATATCCTACCCCTTCAGATTTCATCTTTCTTAATATATACTTATTTTAAAAAGTATATAATTTTTAATAAATATACTTTATAATAAAAAAAAATAGACATTGTACAATTAATGATAAATAATAAGTAGTACCGTCCCCACTAACTAAGTGTAGTTATTTTACTACTGTGGATATGTTTTTATTATTTTATTTAACCCCTTAAGGACTGGACTGTTTTTGCGATGTTGTACATTTGCGACCAGGCATATTTTTACACTTTTGTGGTGTTTGTGTTTGGCTGTAATTTTCCGCTTTCTCATTTACTGTTCCCATACAAATTATATATTGTTTTTTTCAGGACAAAATGGGATTTCTTTACATACCATTATTTATATAATCTCATGTATTTTAATTTAAAAAAAATAAAAAAATATGATGAAAAATTGAAAAAATACATGTTTTTTGACTTTTACTTGAAAAATCTTTTACTCATCTACAAAAGCGAATGAAAAAAACTGCTAAATAGATTCAAAACTTTGTCCTGAGTTTAAAAATACCTAGTG